TTTGCACCATTAGAATCGCTAGGTCCTTCCGGCCCATTAAATAAAAGATTCGGTCAAAATGATAAGGCCTTAGCCTGTTTTGGATGTCCCTGTATAAACTTAATGACATACCTTTGACCACAATAATGCAACTATAACAGCCAGAATAAATTCAGTTGTTACTTATCTGCATTCCTTCTGTGCAACAAAAACAATTTTGAAACCACAAATACGTAAGAAATGCAGAATGTGACGTAGTTATTTAATGTTGCCTACGATGCCATAAATTGCACTGATTGCTCGTCACGTGATGCCATTACTTATGTATCCCAGAGAAACTAGTGCGTCTAAAGTATTATAAACACAGTTCATAGTTTTAAATTTTAAGGTAACAATAGTAAATGGTTTTTTAAAAATAAACTGATTGGCTGAAAAAGCAATCTGACATCATATTATATTGTCATTATGACATTTGGATAGCTAATATGCCAAAAAAACTCGGTTTGGCTCTAACAAAAAGATATTCTTGGCAGGTGAAGAGAGACCATAATTGTGCCACTGTCAGTATCAGAATTGAAATGTCTCAGCTTTCGATTGATCAATTACAATCAACCTTTGAAAAAGACAAAATAGTGAAGAGTAATGGTAAGTGACTCAGTGGAATACCTGATGAGCTCACTGACCATGAATGCATGCTCGAACACTATTTGCAAGCTGGAACGATGCATCCTCTGCAGCTCAGAAAGTTTTAACAAAACTGGGACAGGATACTGCATCTGGTCCAATAAATTCAATGGTGATTACTGTAATCTTGATTGCACATGGTTTTGTCATGTCCAAAGCAAAAGTCTGCCTACTTCTAGCACCATCACCTTATTTTTACCCTTGTCAAGCAATTGATGTTTTACTGAAGTACTTGAATGCATGTACTTTTGCTGTGGAAATAATGAGAGTAGATTTGCAGCTCTTGCTGATAAAAGAGATGGAAATTTGTGGATTATGCAGGTTTATGTTCCATTTATATGCATGCATCCACATTTTCTATTATACATTTGCAGCTTGGCACAATGGCAGCACAACAAAAGCCAGCAACTGAGTACATAGTGCACACTGATAATAATAGGTGCAAAGCCTGTACTACATACAGACGAGTGTTAATTTCACTGTCTTATCGCCAAGCTAAGAATAGTGCCAGCATTAAGCCATCCAATGACAAGACTAACACCAATAGCACTGTTCTATTTTTATTTTTATCTAAAACTGAAGAAGATACACATCTAAAATATTTTAGGAGCTCCCAGATTAAAGTTAGTTACTTGCATTCAAAGCTTGACACAATTTTAAAAGAAAGAAGTGTGCTTGTCGATCCATCACTGAATGAGGACTTGCATTGCATAATGGAGATGTGTAGAATATGCGCTCAATTTGAAGAGAGAAATTTTGAGCAAGTACATTGGGAGCAACAGGAAAGGGCACTGTCAACATCACCAAAGTCAATGAGAAGGCACACAGTCATAACAAAGTAGTGCCTTTATCTATGGCATTTGTCTGGTGCTGCATACAATGTCCTGTGTAAATACATCTTCCTTCCCACTGAGAGACTATACCTATTACAATTCTGCTGCTTTTAGTTTGTCAGACAAAGTAGATGAGTGGCTAAGGGCAAAATCTAAAATAGATGCATGCAGTGAGAGAGAGAATTTCATCATCTAACTAATGCATCAGATGAATATACAATCCGATTTGATTTATGATGGTAAGTATATATTGTATATCAATCAGAACCTATTCATCACATTACATGCATGTATTTGCTTACGTTCTTTGATTAACTTCACAAATACCATATCGCACAATTTCAAAACTAGTGTTAAGCAATGATTCTCAATCACCTCTAGCTAAATCAATGCTAGTTTTAATGATACAAGGATTATGCTGCATGTATGCATTTCCTTATGCCCCATTTCCCTGTGTTGAAGTTCCTGGAAACCAGTTGTTTTATTTATTCTGAGAGGCAGTGGAGAGGATGGAGTTGTGTGGCTTTAAGGTTATGGCTTTAGTTTGAGATGGTCCATCAGCAAACAGAAGCCACATGAGAGACGATAAGTTAAAGTGGACAACCGATGTAGCAGCGACAACTACCTACTTCATATCTGACCCTCCTCATTTAATGAAAACAACTTGCAATGCATGGTCTAATGATAAGAGAAATCGTTGGGTATTCTGTAGGGGGTAGCCTATATGTAGGATTGAGGTTGATTTTTCAAGATGGTGGCGGTTTTTATGATTTTCAAACACTCATAACTCTTTCATCTTACGTTGTACAGCCTTATAAATGGCTTAGATGAGCTCTTCTTCACTGAGCGATTCTCCTGGTACCTTTAAAGTGGACAGTAATGTAGCGGGAGCATTTCTGGAGAATAGGCCCAAATTCTAATTTCTGCAAAATTCTTCAGACTTTTTCTTCTTCTTTCATCTACTATCAATACGGAAATCTTTTAATCCAAAGAACCGCTCAAGTTGGCTTTTACATCATTCCTTTGAGCTTGGGTCAAGGACTGGACATGTGGCTTCAAAAAGAAGCAAGGACAGAGAACAATGGAAGACAAATTCCGGCTCCAGCACCGCGTGGGTTTGTGGTTTCACGCCATTTTAATTGATGTGCATGTGATCAGCATGAATATGATTAACCTAACCACATAATCATAACAGAAAGTAATTTATAAATTTAAGAAAAAAGAATGGAAACAAGTAGTTAAGAAACATTAAAAATGGAAAAGTAGTAGGATTAAATTGCAAAAAAGTAAAGAAACAA